AAAATAGCATAATGAGAAACATCAACCCAACCCAGCCCCTGCGCATCTCGATTACAATGAAATTTGCTAAATACATTTTTTTTTTTATTATCATCACAAAAACAAAATTATACGCCAATTGAAACTTAAAGATATTTCTTCTCGCCATTAACCAAACATCAATTCTTGGATACCTGTGGTAATCGTTTTTTTTCCCAGCAACATTTCATCCATTACCCCATCCCAAACCGTGGACATCTGATCACATTTTTGAAAATTCTCGTCAAAGACTACCCAATCCAATCAAATCAACTTCAGAACAGTCGTCATTTATGAAAAACAACTCCAAAATTAGAAACAACTTAACCAAACACCAAAACCCCTCTTGATTTTCGCAAATTACTTTCGAAGAAATAACCACCCACACGATACAAATGTCTCTGCAAGCCAACGGAAGCTTGTGGTCCCGACCAGCACTGAACGAAATTCGCTCAAATTTCCCCCAGAAATGCAGCGGTGCAATGTTTTCTATTTTTCAATGTTATACCTACAGCTGATTTTCTCCCAACATCTGTGCAAAGGCTCATTTCCCCTCTCTGATAAGTGCATGGGGACACATCGACCCTAATACCTACCGCTGGCCATCTGTGTCAGCAGCCTGTCTAGGTCAAACTATTCTGTTACGTCATTCTTATACAGGAATTACCTCAGATTTTCCCTTGAGGACAGTCAATCTTAAGTCACAAAGTCAGATCTGCTTCCTCCCAACAACACCACCACCTACCATGTTATATTACCTTCCCACTTTAATCACAACATGTACAACAACCACCCCTAAATCGGAAAATTATTCACCTGCTTTCATTGTTTTCAAGAAAGCTTTCGACTCTATTTTGGCATGCAAGGTCTTTTACAGCACCTTTTAACTGTGTTGTACTTACCGGTGGCCAAATGTATGTCTGGTTAATCAATGTATTTGCTGGAAACATGCTCTCCGTTAAAATTTGGAGCCAAACCTCAACTGATTCTCTTCCCCCAGAGAAGACGGGCGTTCGGCAGGGTTTGCAATCTAGTCCGCTTTTTCTAATGTGTACACCTCAATGACACCTGGCTTCTTAGATACAATGCTGCCTGCTCCGGCCTCTCCCTCCCTAATAGCAGAGGTTGAAGTCTTCCTTTTTATGCTGGACTGACCCTTTTTTCTCTCTCTCTAATGAACCAAGGACTACAGCTACAGCTGGTCCTCTACATTCAGAATTCTGCAGCATATCATTTTACACGTACACACGAAACCACCCAACAAATGCTGTTAACAGCAGAATTACGGCACGATACCCACTGATAATTACATTCAGAAGAGAATGCGGCACCCCTCCACTCCACAACCCTCCAAACACACGAGCTTGTGCCCAGAAAACGAATGCCCTTATGTCGCTTGGTACTCGCAGCTACTGCCCCCTCCTCAGACACACTCCTGACCAGCCTCACAACAACCCTGCTCCTACAAACAGTCCTCAGAGTAAGCAAATTATACGCACAAGTGTAAAGAAAGCTATCTGGACCATTGGGAAGAAACAATAAAAGCCTAGGATTCGGAATGTTATCCTTGCCGCCTTAAAAGTGATGAATTAGGGCAGAATATGCTCTGTACGCTCAGAGATAGAAAGCAGGAGACAGATCGCTAACCCACAGTACAGGCTCGCTAGGTTGACCACAACACTGCCAATCCAAAGCAGGAAGACACCAAAAGATCATGGCAGACCAAAACGAAAACAGGAGGAAGGAATGTGGTCACTGTTCGGACAGGTGAGGTTGAGACAGAGATCACTTTCTCCCGTACAATGTACGAACATTAAAAGGAGAAAAATTTATTTGAACCAAGTTCAGCTGCTTGGTACCAGATTTCAAAGAGCCTGAACGATCGCTCTCCAAGTTACAGACATACTACTCGGGAGAAGGAGAGCGGGCACACCTTGCTGCCACTGTATATGATTAACAGTGCCACAACCTGAGGGACGTGAGTGATCGAGGCACACGCACACAGCAGACCACACACAGACCACACAGACACAGACACACACACACCATCACACACACTGTATACTAATACTAATATAATGTTATAAGTATTTCGTGGTTTATTGATTGTATTTTTGATGCTTTTTTGGGCGATATCTGTTTTTTTTTTTTTAAACTTTCTGGCCAATAAGGCCCATTTTGAATTGAATTGAACTGAACTTGAACTGGATTGAGAGAGAGATGACAGAAAAAGACAGAAAGAGAGAGAGAGAGAGAGAGAGACAGAGAGACAGAGAGAGAGAGACACAGAGAGACAGAGAGAGAGAGAGACCAGAGTAGGTGTGCGGAAAAGAGTAAAGCAAGGGGAGAAGATTCAAGTAGTTGGTCAGTAAAGTACTTAATAATAAAACAAGCTATTAGAAAATAACTCTGCTTCAAATGTTTCTAATAAAAGTGTATGTTGGGTTTGATTGTTTTTTTTACCGTGGTATGAAATTGGTATTGAGCATCATGGAATTTCACTGGTATTGGTATTGAATACTAAATTTCTAGTATCGTGACATTCCTAGTAGGATTTAGTGGCATCTAGTGGTCAAGTTACTGATTACAAACCCCTTGCCTCACACTCCAGTTTCAAAAGCATAGGAGAAACTACAGAATGACTAATCACAAGGTTGTGTCAGTGTGGCTGCTGTGGAATGATGTTAGTGCTCCCCTTTGTAAGTTTTGGGAAGGTGGTGAAAAAGGTTTTGAGTCCTGCACTATAACTCTCATGCATCCTGCTGTAAACATATACTTGAATTTCCAATAGACTATATCAGAATTTACATGATATTTCTTTCTTTTGATATGAGCCATCAGTCACCCTGCTCTCTAAATATCAGCATCAGCCATTGATAAACCCATATTGGTTGACCACTACACTGGACCTTTAAGAAACACTACAGTATAACTGCAATAGAAGCTTTATCTGCTGAGATAATGCACAAAGAAATATAAATGGGATAATAATTCATAAGCATTTGCCCATTGCTGCCAAACGACATTGTCACTCTGAATGTACCTTGGCCTCTATTGGTTGAGGGAATGAATACACAGAGTGTGAACCCAGGCAGGGTTAGTGAGCTATGGCACGTACTCTTAGGGTTATATAACACAACATTATTGTTGAACACTGACACAAAGGCACCTGACTGACTGACTGACTAATACCAATACCACAGCTGTAGTCTGCTACATTCCCCTCTACATATCAGATAATACAAGCTTAATACTGAGAACTCATATTAAGTTTAAAATCAGATCAGAAAGTTCTATTAAAATCTATTAAACTCATAAAAAGAACATTAGTTTGAGGTGTGTTTAAGTTTTGTCAGAATTGTTAAATAATCATATCAGATACTTCCAATACTATTAAATTCTCTATACATAATTATACACAGCCAAACAGTGCTGGGTTAACAAGTCTGTCCTTATCCGACCTCTGGGACTCTCCTCCCCTGCTCCTCCTCCCTCTACTGTGCTGCTGGTGACCGACTGCCTTGTGCTCCACATCCCACCCACAGGAAGTCAGCCCCTGGGCTCACCGCCAGACAACTACAGGATAATGATGGACCGGTGCCAAGCTGCACTTGTGGAGGCATAAAATCTTGTAACTTATCTCTGGTTGTGTTTGTCTTTCTTTACTCTCTCTTAGGTCCACAAACTTCCGTCTCACTTTCTTACACACCCTTGCGCACCCTCTCCCATATTCCGCCACACTATGAAATATGGTCCCTCTGTGTGTCCTGGTGTAACCTCACCTAAAGCGACCCCCACAGTCTCTGCTCCGACTGCACCCAAGGAGTGAGAGGGGTGAATACACTGCAGGGGTCTTTGTGAGCCACGGCTAAACTCACCCCGCTTTCTCTTTCGGACTCTCTCTCTCTCTTTATCACATGTTTTGCTGGATTGTTTACTTGGACTGGTTTGGTGTCTCTCCTTTCTAAGCTCCCTCCCTCTCTCTCTCTTCCTTCCATCCAGTCTGTCTAACCCGCCCACTAGTTGGTTCCTGCTTAGTGTTATGTGGCGATAAGAGCAGAGAAGAAACGGCAAAGAAGGCCCTAATCAGCCCTTTTCTCTCAAGATCTGCACCTTCCAATCCTGCAGTTTTACTCTCTTACGACTACCGTGAGTATTTGTCTTTGCCGGATCAAATAAACAGGCTATAATGGTGCTTGGCAAGGAGTAATTTGACGGAGTGAGAGACCCCCCCCCCAAAAAAAAACCCTACATGGCTGGGGAGAGTGGCGGACGTGCAGAAAAGATAGTAAACCATGAGAGATCAAGCAGAGACATTTCTAGAACTGCATAAATGTGCAGCAGTAGGTTAGCAGAGGAAACTAAAAATGCTCAAGAGACAGACTGAAGTATGTCAGACCTGATGGTGCTTTATTTACACCAGAATAAAAGCATTATCTAGGGCTTAAAAAGATTGCTGTTTCCAATCCCATGCAATTTTTGACCCTGCAGGGATAAAACACTTTCTTCACATTTATTCACAATGCTTAAAAAAGTATGCAACATGAAGGGTGAATGATCCTGACGCTAAACATTGCTCTTTCCATTATCTTTTCATACACCAAAAAAGTAACTCCCTTATTTTTCTTTAAATAATGGTTGGGGAAAAAAAGGTTAAATGTTTCCATATACTTCTGTCCCTCTCAGAAGGTCAGATCGGACTCTGAAATTGACTAACAGCCAATTTCCGCCATTTTATTTACTCTGTGTGTGTGTGTGTGTGTGTTAGAGAGAGAGAGCGTGTGCAATAAGCCACAGAATGTCAGATGAAAGGACACACACAAAGGCAACATGAGAGAAACTCAGATTTAAACATTATTTGTTACTTCACAGAATGTGAAGATAAACAACTCTGTTCAAAATCAGTGCAAGGTGAATGCACTGCTGTGTTGCCATAATATGATCTGTTGCATATCACTGACCCTCAAATCCATCCAGTACTCTCACCTAGGACCCAACTTTGCTTTTATATGTAAATGTGCTTAATTCTACGGCAATTCCAGTATCATCATCTGTCGACGTACCTGCCAAAAAAAATCACATGGTAACAATCACTATGACCTAAAGCCATCCCCCTTTCATCTGAGCATCAATAACAGAGCTGCGTTTACTTATAGGGATGTACCGATACTCATCTCACGATTCGATACAATTCACAATACTAGATTCATGACATGATTTTCTCACGATTTCTGTAACAAAATGAGATTGAAGATAAATTATAACTGAAAAACAGTCTCAGACAAAAGGTCTGCTAAATATATTTTCTCTTATATTTTCTTTATCTAAATAAAGTATCGTTTTTATGTCTGAAGCAGGACAAACTGTCAAATCAATGTCCTTTTCTTTGTGACAGATACTGTCTTTGCGCCTTGATACCGCTACTGATAGGAGTGACGTAGGACATCAAACATGCAAAGACAAAAAGTAGATAGCGCCATCTACTGTTTTAAAATAATATTACTATCGCAATCTTCACATTCCTCTTGGCTTATGTATATATGTTTTTACACTTTATTTATAGAGTTTTTTTAATTTATCTGACAAACATCAACATAGATCATTTCCAGGCACAAATGTGTGCAAAAATATATGGAATACCGGAAAAGAAAAAACAGAAACAAAAACAAAACACCATAAAATAACTGACAACATCAACAATTGAAGCAGACAGCTCATAGAAAAGAAAAGAGAAGCAAAACAAAACTGTAGGGAATAACTAGGTATAGCTAGAGATATAGATATATTTGGGAAGGAGTGAACTATCAAAGATCACAATCTTGAATCCTGTTTCAGTGGGTGATTTTTTTAAATCTTATGCTGCCGTGTATTTAACAGTGAAAGCTAATGAGGTGGCCAGACTGGCAAAGAAGGGATTTGGCAATCATCCAGGCTGCCATTATAAAGCACTTAATTAGATCTTCTGATTCACTGTTGTGAATAACAACATGCAGAGAGACACTGTTTGCTATTAAAATAGAAGCAATGGTCAATTAAATGCTCAGATTACATAAAAGGTGATGGGATACAGATATTCAGAGAATAATCGTTACATGTAAACGGAGAGCGTGCATATTTGTGCATGTCCAATAATAAACTGCCATCTTTCTTGTCTTAATGAACTGGTGGTTGTTACTGCTATGTTTAAGAGCTCCTCTGTGAGTAATAAATACAACTTGTTCTGCATACAGTGCTTTTGTCCTGCCTATAATACAGTTTTAAATTTTAAAATTATACTGTGTGTGGGTTTGGCATTTAAGTTAGTTGTTGTAAACAAAACTATAAGTTTAAGAGACAAAGTGAAAAATACTGATCTGATCTATAAAAATAAATGTAAATAAATCTACCTCCTTATTCCACATATTACGCACAAAGTAGGGTTCATGGCATGAGAACGTACAAGCTACAATGTTATTTTATTTTATGATTTAAAAAGGTTCCCA